TAAAGGCTTGAAGTTAGGCAAGTGGCCATCTAGCCGGAAGGCAGCAAAGCCCACATGGAAGAAGCATGCCAGCCTGTGTGATCATGGGAAAAGGTATCAGAAGTTCAAAAACAAGCAATCACACTGATGTGAAGGAACATAGGCAAGGTGGAGACCCACAGCCCACCTGTGAGATAGTGGGACAGTCCCTCACAGAAGGGCCACACAGAAGGGCTGGTACATCCACAACTTTCCTCCAGTTCTTTAAAATTGCCTCTCTCACTATCATGGCCTTAGTTTTACCTCGCTAATCTCACTAGACCTGCGTATGTACATTGGTACAATCAAGATCTTTCGGTGCAGGAGATTCAAGGCAGATAAACCCCTCCGTAACAATAAGGAGGGTATCGATTTTTGAGGGTACAGGAAGCAGGGTAGGGGAAAGGAAACTGATAGCAATGATGACTGTCTAACCCCACTGGAAAGGAAAAAATCAGAGTTTTAAGTCATTGGATCAATGGGTTGGTGGAAGTCCTGGCCAAGAAAAACAGTAATAATAATAATAATAATATATTTTTTAAAATAATATATTGAGGGATGGGGGCTGGTAGAATTGGGGAGGGAAGCCATAAAGGGGAGAAGATATCAAGGATTTCAAGAAGAAAAGAAAGTGTATTGAAAATGATGATGGCAGCAATTGTAAAATTATACTAGATCTAATGAAATTTTGGATCGTCCTAATATCTGTAAGAGCTGCCGATAAAATGTTTGTTTTTTTAGAAAAGCAACAGCTGGAGACGTTTGTTAGGAACTTTTCCAGTCTTTCAAATTATCCTGTGTGTGTCAAAAAGGCTCCACAGTCCCATCTGGTGTCCGTTCCTTGTAAGCTCCTGCTCTTTCTTGAATCTCTGAAAGCCAGGAGCTGACGTTTATGTAACGAGGAAGTCTATCTAACCAGTCTGACAAGTCAAAAATCAAGCAAATTGTCTGAGAGTGCCGACAGTGCCTTACCCCCTCCATCACCAAAACAGAAGAGGGAGGAGAAGGGAAATTTTGTGTCTAAGAAACTTCATTTAGTCCTTTCAACCCAAACTTTTTTCTCCCCCCCTGCAAACGTGTAACAAAATTAGGGCACATAGACATGTTTTCCTCTCTACAGAGCAAGCTGATCCTGAGAAGACCCGGAAGGTTGACAATCGCGTCTGGCATCCAAGTCCCCTATCACCCATAGGAGAGGCAGGCGACTGGTGGTTCAGAACTGCTGCCCTTGCAGTGAGCAGCCCAAATCGTAAGCATTACCCCACCAGGGTTCTAAGGACAATACAATAAACTCAGTAATTTAGTAATTGCATCTGTAAAATCTGATGATGATAATGCAATAAGCTATTATTATAATGCACTCGATGTTCTCATAATGACAATGCCCTGAACGCAATTAGAATGCACTCAGCACTCAAATAATTACACTGACGACAAGCATTAGAATAAAACCACCCCCTGACACCGAGTCAGTGCTGACTCCCAGCATTGGGTCCCCTCTGGTTCCTGAGACTGTAACCGCTCAGGGAGCTGAAAGCCCAGCCTTTCTCCCGCAGAGCGGCTGGTGGTTTCAAACTCCTGACCATGCGCATTGCAGCCCACCCTCTAACCGCTACACCCTCAGGGCCCCGACAGTATGACAGCTACAATGTATTCAGTGTTATCACATTGCCGTTCCCCGCCACACTCACAGTCCCAGGTCCATTTGTGGATCACGGGAAAGAGCCAGTGTCCTGCCTACCGGCGCTCAGCGTCCTTCTCCTTGGACCCATGCAGCCTGGAAGGAAAGAGAATGAGGAGATGGGTCCTGTCCAGAGAGTGGGCCCGCAGGCATTGGGGAGCCTGCCCCAGAGGGTTAGGGTTAGGTTCCCAGGCACGGGATGCCCAGGGTAGGACCCACTTGCTCCCCCTGCCCAGTAGCAGCGTGCAGCCTTCTGTCCAGGAGTGGGGTGGAGTAGACACTGGCGGGGAGGGAACCTGGATGCACTAGTTCCCCACCCAGCAAGCCACCTGCTTCCAAGGCCCCTCTGGCCATTGGCACAAAGAGCCTGCCCTGAGGACACGGGGCTGGGGGAGTGGCCACCACTGCTGTTAAAGCCTGAATCTCCAGGGCAGCGGCCAGAACTGTAGCCTCCACCATGGGCCTGGAGCTGTACCTGGACCTGCTGTCCCAGCCCTGCCGCGCTGTCTACATCTTTGCCAAGAAGAACCGCATCCCCTTCGAGCTGCACACTGTGGACCTGCTCAAAGGTGGGGTGACATCGCCTCCTTCCTGAGTCCTGAGCATCCCTTGAGCCTAACGCCCTACAAATTACCTTCCCCCAATCCCTCCTCCCCAAGGGACCCTCGGTCCCCCTGCCATACCCCCACTGCCCCTCCTACCCTCCCCACCCCAGCCAGGTGATCCTGCATCTCCCTGGTCCCCCATAAGCTGCAGGATCTTCAGCCTTCTGCCCAGTGGAACGCAGGCATGGCCACAATTCCCACGGGAACTTGTGTAAATCCACAATCGCTGAGAGGCCTGAGAATCCAGAGAGAGACTACAGGTCACCCCTAGCCTTGGGGCTTTCTTGAGGATCATCTTTCCGAGGCAGGGTGCCAGGCCTTTCTTGCGAAGCCACACTGTGTAGATTCAAACGGCCCACCCTTTGGGTACCGGCTGCTGAGCACAAATAACCTCTCTGTGTTCCCACCCCCACATCTGAGAGTCTGCACTGCCCTGGACACTTCAGGGGCTCTGGTGGGAGGGAGGGTGGGGAGGGCAGGCAGGCACAGGGGCCCCTGACCTTCCATAACCCCCTCCTAGGCCAGCAAGTCAGCAAGCATTTCTCCAAGCTTAACAGCTTGCGGAAGGTGCCTGCCCTCAAGGATGATGACTTTGTCTTGACTGAAAGGTACTTCCCCACACACACATACACTCTCCTGCCCCTGCCCCTGCTGGCTCCTGCCTCTGCCCCAGCTCCCTCTCCTCTCCAGCCTTGTCTCCTGGAATTAGGATCTCCCTGGTCTCAGTGAGTGACCCCAGAAGAGAGAATGATGGGATAGACCAGGGGTGGGGGGACGGGGGTGTCTGTGACAAGTAGGTGGGAAAATGGAATGGAAAATGTCCCTCCTACTGGTCATCAGCCCAGAGCAGGTGGGACAAATCAAGGCTGCCCAGGGCTCTGTCCTCATCCCATGGAGTGGGCCATGAGGAGCACAAGACCCCCATCCCTCTCCCAGGCCTCCCCTGAGGACACAGCCCTCCTGTTGGCTTGCCTGAGCACCCACTGTGCAGGTGCTGTGTTGGTCTGGGTGGGAGCCCCTCCCCAGCTGAGCCGCCTCAGACAAATAACTTTCCTACTGGGAGCCTGGGCGCAGACGGGAGTTGGAGGGCCACCACTTCAGGCTCACTGTTAGGATAATGAGGTTCTGGAGAGGGCAAAGCAAAGAGTGGACCCCACATAAGGGCAGAAACAGGGCCTAGGGTTGGGGGGACAGCTAGGGTCAGAGTCAGGCCCTCTCAGCAGTGTCCCTGCTTCAGCACGGCCATCCTGATCTACCTGAGCCAAAAGTACCAGACAGAGGACCATTGGTACCCAGCGGAGCTGCAGGCCCGGGCTCGGGTCCACGAGTACCTGGGCTGGCATGCAGATTTTATCCGGGGCACCTTTGGCGTGATGCTGTGGACGAAGGTGAGGCATGCCCTAGAGGGGCTGGGGGAGGGGGGAGGGGGCCACAGGCTGAGCCACCCTCTGCCACCCTCAGGTGCTGGCACCGCTCATTGGAACCCAGGTCCCTGAGGAAAAGGTGCGTCGCAACAGAACTGCCCTAGAGGAGGCACTGGACAAGCTGAATGCCAGGTTCCTGGGGAACAAGCCTTTCCTCACTGGCCAACAGGTGACCCTGGCTGACATCATGGCGCTGGAGGAGATGATGCAGGTGGGTGGTGGCTGTGGGCATCCTCCATCCCTCGTCCCTGTCCCTTTGGACAGACAGTAACTCTGGGGCCCGACAGCCAGCCAGCTGCTGGCCCAGAGCCTCAGTCCCTACAGGCTGTACTGCAGCTGCATTCCTGGGCTTCCCCGGGGGGAGACCTGGGCAGGGGACACATCAGTAAATGTGCCCGACACCACCTGTGCAGGTTGGTGCCCCTGGCCTGGGCCCTCAGTACCCCACAATGCCCCACCCACCTCTGTCCCCACAGCCCATAGCTCTCGGATTGGACCTGTATGAGGGGCGGCAGCAGCTGGCAAGCTGGCACAGGCGTGTGGAGGCCTTCCTGGGTGCAGAGCTGTGTGAGGAGGCTCACGGCCCTATCATGACCATCCTGGAGCAGATGGCCTGTAAGACCATCCCGATACCCCCACCTGAGGCGCACCCGCCTATGCTGAAAAGGCTCGCCAAGATCCCCTGAGTGGGCTGAAGGCCGACGGGGGCTGTCGGAGAAACTAGCAATAAACACTGTGTCAATCACCTGCTCTGATCCCTCTTTCTGATCTCCACCCAGACATGGGTCTGCCTCAGTACATTAAAATCCACTCGACAGAAAGAGTTTCTGAGGAACCAGGTGAAGGAGATAGGTATCTCAGGGGAGGTATGCACACCTTAGAACATCCATCCTTTAAGATCAAAAGCTAGCAGCCCCAGGGACAGAAGGTCAGACAGGTTTGGAAAGAAGGCATGGAAACAGGGCTCACAAGGAAGATGTGGGATGGTGGGGGAGGGGGGGATGTCCACTCTGGGGGCCAAACCCCAACCAAACTCATTGTCAACTCATAGCGACCCCAAAGGACAGGGCAGAAGTGTCCTTGGGAGTTTGAGGCTGTAACTTTTAAAATAAGACATTTCTTCAGTGGCATGGTCAGACTGTTCCATTTGTCAATCAATATCCTGGGTGCAAAACAGAAAAAAATAAAGACAGATTCAACCCTTGGCTGGAGGGCTTTACACTTTGCACAGAACAGAAACTGAAATAACCTGTGTGTTCGACAGGGTCCTCTAGAGAAACAAAACCAGAATGCTAATAATTATATATATATATTTATACAGATAGAGAGATATGTAACATAAGAAATAAGCAGTTCATTCAATTATAAAGCAGTACAAATGGCTCAGTGCAACTCACTCCTGTGTGACAGTTGTGAGACACTGGCAGTCCTTCAAGTCTTGAGGGCCGCCGGGTAGTCCTCTGTAGAGCAATTCAGGCTATCCGGGCACAGGCAGCAAATAGCAAGGCAGGTCACCAACAGTCAGCCAGATGACAGGGCTCGACAGTCCCTAGTTCAAAAGATGTAGATTCCAATGGTGTGGCGAAGCAGGTCTTGAAGGAACCTCAAATTACAGCGATGGAATCCACGGGTTAGGTGTCCCACAGGTAGTGTAGCTTTGCAAATGGAGGCACAGAACAAGCAAGGCAGCCGCACAACTGGTCCGATGATCAAAGAGCAAGAGACAAGAAAGGCGAGGCTCGCCGAGCCATTGATCTCTCTGCCCTTCAATTAATCCCACGTGTGTTTATCAGCCATAAGATAAACGGGATCCATCTGTTTTTTCACAGGCCAAATTGGCGAGTTAAACAGGGAGGTGGTAGGAATCGCCACCCCAGCACCCTTCGAGTGTTTGATGGTGGCCCTGATCTCTGCAATCCCTTCTAAAATGCGGCATTTTGTTGGGTCTACCATTTTCTTACGCAATTGTAGTTCTAATGGTGTCCACTTGGCCTTTTCTACCATAATAGTCTTATTTCATATTTCAGGGAACCAATATGGGGTAGTGCCAGTTACTAAGTCTGTCTGTTCCAATGATGCATTCTGGAACTGGGGAAATGATGACAGCATGGTTTGGGGGCTCACTGGACCCACGGTGAGGCATACCTCACCTAAAACTCCACCAATAACTTGACCTCCCTAGGCCCCTACTCTAACTGGCAGGCCGTGAAAACACTTTGGGTCCCCTGGAATTAGTGTCAGTTCCGAGCCAGTGTCCACTAATCCCCAAATAGTATGATTATTTCCTTTCCAACAATGAATGGTCACTCTTGTGAAAGGCCGCAGGTCCCTTTGGGGAAGGATAGAAGAAAGACTAACAGTATAAACCTTCGGTGATGTAGCAGGGTCCTTCTCCCCCCAGCCCCCAACATTATTTGTTTTCTTTTAAAAATTATTTTAGGCCCCGGGGGAAAAAAAATTATTTTATTGGGGGCTCATACTACACTTATCACAATCCATACATCCATCCATTGTGTCAAGTACATTTGTACATTTGTTGCCATCATCATTCTCAAAACATTTTCTTTCTACTGAAACACTTGGTATCAGCTCATTTTCTCCCCTCCCTCCTCACCATCCCTCCCTCATGAACCCTTGATAATTTAGAAATTAATTATTTTGTCATGTCTTACACTGACCGGTCTCCCTTCACCCACTTTTCTGTTTTCCGTCCCACAGGGAGGGGGTTATATGTAGATCCATCCTTGTGATTGGTTTCCCCTTTCTCCCCCCACCTTCCCCTTCCCCTCCTGGTATCGCTGTCATTTTTGGTCCTGAGGGGTTTATCTGTCCTGGATTCCCTCTGTTTCCAGCTCTTATCTGTACCGGTGTACATCCTCTGGTCTAGCCTGATTTGTAACGTAGAATTGGGATCGTGATAGTGGGAGGAAGGAAATTAAGGAACTAGAGGAAACGTGTATGTCTCATCAGTCCTACACTGCACCCTGACTGGCTCGTCTCCTCCCCAAGACCCTTCCATAAGGGGATGTCCAGTTGGCTACAGATGGGCTTTGGGTCTCCACTCTACACTCCTCTTCATTCACAATGATATGTTTTCTTGTTCCTTGATGCCTGATACCTGATCCCATTGACACCTCATGAAAACACAGGCTGGTGTGCTTCTTCCACGTGGGCTTTGTTGCTTCTCAGCTAGATAGCCGCTTGTTTATCTCCAAGCCTTTAGGACCCCAGACACTATATTTTTGATAGCCGGATGCCATCAGCTTTCTTCACATTTGCTTACGCACCCACTTTGTCTTCAGCAAATGTGTCGGGAAGGTGAACATCATGGAATGCCAGTTAAATAAGACAATGTGTTCTTGCATTGAGAGAGTAGTTGAGTAGAGGCCCAATGTCCATCTGCTACCTTAATACTAAACCTATAAATATATGCACATAGATCAACTTCCCCATCATCATATATAAATATATTTACATATGTACATGCCTGGTTTTAGACCTCTATAAATGCCCTTTGCCTCCTAGTTCTTTTCTCTATTTCCTTTTACTTTCCTTTTTAAAAAAAATCATTTTATTGGGGGCTCATACAATGCTTATCACAATCCATACATACATCCATTGTGTCCAGCACATTTGCACATTTGTTGCCATCATCATTCTCAAAACATCTGCTTTTTACTTGAGCCCCTGGCATCAGCTCCTCATTTTCCCCCTCCCTCCTTTACTTTCCTCTTGTCTCGCTATCATGCTCAGCCTTCATTTGGGTTTCAGTAACTCCTCTCGGTTACATTGCCCTTGATCAAGCCCTACCAGGCCTCCTCCACCCTCCTTGCCATCGATTTTGGATCACTTGTTGTTCTCTTGTCCCAGGGTTTGTTAACAAGCACGGTCATGCTTCAAAGGGACCTGGCCTTCTCCTCATCCAAGGGGTTGTGGGCCTCTAAACTGGCTCAGGTCTGGGAATTGATTGAGCAGTCATGACTCTCTGTTCCCCTGATCTAGCATTCTTCTGCCTGTATAGAGCATGTAACCATTTAGTAGGTTTCCCATTTATTTCACTTCTAGGGACACCGTCGCTAGGTAGCCAATGCCATAAGTCCACACAAGACAGGTTGTTGTGATTACTACGAAATTTTTGCTGTCCATTATTATAACCACACTCACCCTGTCTCTGTTGATTCCGTGCTGACACCTGCCTCTTATCTCCGTGGGGGTCCAATCAGCCCCATTGTAAGCAAATGTCCGCGTTGACTTAGGGAAGTTCCCGCTTTTAATCTTGGTGTACATAAAATAGCAGTTGCAGGAGTTTTCAGAGAGGCTGGGACCCACTTCACAAACTTGTTCCTTATGGTTGTGGTGGAAGTTATGTCCTCGGGACACTCCCTTTTTGAGTCTATGTGATTACTCTGATAGAGCCGTTCCAACATGCCAATTTCCCTAAGCTTTTGAAAGCCTTTCAGGAACCTCAAGTTGGTCTAATCTAGGCCATCTGGCAGCCCGTACTTCAGTGAACCAATCAAATAAGCAATTCTCAGGGGTCCTCAAACTTTTTAAACAGGGGGCCAGTTCACTGTCCCTCAGACCCGTTGGAGGGCTGGACTATAGTTTAAAAAAAAAACCATGAACAAATTCCTATGCACACTGCACATACTGACTTTGAAGTAAAAAAACAAATGGGGCAAAAACACCCGGCAGTCCTCGGCGGGCTGCATGTGGCCCGCGGGCCACAGTGTGAGGACACCAGAATTAGATCCTCTCTTGACCTATCTTGTTGAGACATTGAAAAAAGAATCTGTGCTTAGGGGCCCATATCAAGGAACTCAGACCGCTCTAACGTTACATCCCTTGCA